AGGCATTTAGTTCCCTCGGTGCAGAACTTTACAGCTGCCTTGCAGCTTCCTTAGGACGTATAGACCCTTCTCCTGTCCGGCATCGCCACCGTTGTGGGCTGCCTGCTCTGAGCTCCAGCCTCGTGGACTTCTTGCAGGATAAGTTTTCTGCTCATGCTCAGTGGGAGAAGCCCCTAAGCCCCAGTGCATCGCTTGCTCCTGAGCTCCAGATATTGGCAGCTTTTTTGTCGTTTCTTCTCTGCAACTCTGCGCCAAGGACCGCGGATTCTCTTCTCCTTGACCAACTTGTTTCCCTTCTATGTTTGTCTTTCGCCTGCCCGTGTTTTGCTGCTTTCCAAATTACCTGATATTTAGTAAAAGTCATTTATTCTGCTCTCCCATTCTCTTTTCCAAATCTCTGTCATATTCAGTGCAGAATAGCTGGGGATGCTTTAGACCTGACAGTCAGCACCATCATCTTTGTCATGATCTCATCCATTGCAGACGAGTCCTACCTGCACCTTGCACAGTTCCTGCCACTGATGAAAGGTGAAATAATCTAAAACCAACCCTCTGAACCATGGATCAGGACTCCAAAATCCCTCTTTTGGACCCAGTGTTTGTGTCTGGAGAGAGTGTTATTCGTTACTCAAGCAAAATGCCAAGCCCAATACTCACACCTTGCAAATTTGGGTGCCCTTAGGCCTTGATTCAGATTTCATGTTTTGGGTCTCTTTCCAGTTTTGGGGATATCACTATTTAACTCAGAAGGGATGAACTTCGGACTGGTCCATCCTGCATGCGCAGCAGCACCTGATAGTGCCAATTGTTTACAAGAAGTCCTACCTGTGAAGTTAGATAAAAGACAAATTATGAGGAAAAATTAGCCTGTTCTTGAGGTCACACTGACCAATGTCAAACTGCATAACTGAGAGGGCCCGAGATTCAGGTGTCTTTAACAAACTGCGACCCAGACAGTGATTCAACCTGCAGCTCTGGCATTTTTTAAATGTAATTTTTTTAAAAATGATTTCTAGCTCATTCACATCGTAGCATTTCCGTGCTGTCATTCATCCCTCCAAAATAAGAGGTCTTGCATGCCAGCAGCTTTAAAGTTCTCCTGATTTTTCAACCCAATTGTTGATTCCTCTTGTCTCTCGTGTGGTCATGTGGCAATAGGTGAAGCTCCTCTGAGTTCTGCTCCGTTAAAGTGTGAGTGTCCATGCATGTGTTTAACTTAGGTGGCTTAAAAGCACATCTGTAATTCACTAGTACTGGTGTTTATTAGCAAGCACTAAGCAGCGACTAGTAAGTCTTACTCTTTGGAGCTGATGCACTTGCCTAACTCCTGCAGCACACCAGAGTTTCAAGTCAATTAATGACCCATGTGTTCAGTCAGAGCCCTTCCCTTACGAAATTCAGCATTTGCATTTTGTTGAGTGTAAAGCTACCTACTTCCTCTAATCAGTATTTCATTTAGCACATAACAAGCATACAGCTGCTTCTGAAAATGGTGCAAGGTTCACCCTGGTAATTCATGATTTCCACCCTCAAATGAAAGTGCTATGGGAGCTGCGGGAAGACTGCTGTGTAGGCAAGAGCAAAGGCAGCTGTATACTGTGAAATAAGAAGTAGCAGGCAAAATACAGTATCACAGCTAATAGATGTATTTTAAAAGTGGAAACATCTATGTTTAATTGCATTTAAAATACGTAGTGAGAAACCACAGTTATACATTGTTATAACAAACCTTTACATCTGAAGTCAGAATAATACCAAAGAAAAAAAGTGCTGATTATATATGGTCAGAATAACTGAGGCAAAACGCTGACAACATCTCCTAAAATATGTGGCCCCTGCCAGCAACACTCTAAAGGTCGAGTTAAATAATCTCAGTGTCGATCACTGGATTTCTGTAGCTTACCCAAAACAAACAACCAAAAAAACTGTTCATTTTTTTCTTTTTTTTTTTTTTTTGCATAGCTTTCAATATTGCTGCACTCTCACCTCTGCATATCGCAAGCCCCATCTCAGTTCTGAGATAATTTCTTTAAAGTTCTGAATATCTTTTTTAATTCAGTTCTCCTCAAATACATAATATATAGTTTCTACCAATTATAAATACATCATTTTTATTAATCTGATTTCAGTAACATGCATTTGTATAATTACTGTACAATCAAAATAGACATTGACTTTACACAGTGTGTATGCTTTTATTTCCATGATATTGTTCAGACACACTGCTGAACAAATCAAGCAAATGGGAAAATAAAAAGGAAAAAAAGGAGGAGAAAAAAAAAAAAGGAAACAAAATCTCACAGTGTTTACAGACAAAAAAAAAGAAAGGAAAAATACTTATCAGAAAAAGGATTTAATAATACATAGGAAATCCCCACAATAGTTGAAACACACTTTAGAAACTAGTAAACACGTTAAATAGAGTTGTGCCAATTATGCGGTGCCCAAGCATCTGCTTGCTCTTAATTAGATGGGGAGGTGAATGACCACTGTTTATTTTCATTTTCCTCATTAATTATGAAAAACTGCATTTAATTCATCTTGCATGGTGAGAGACTGGCTGCGCAGATGCAGGTCGTACGGGAAGTGGCTCTCTGTGGGCAACCTGAACATGGAGCTCTGCCCAAGGGGACCCCTGGGTGGCACTGCACAGTAATGCATGCCGTAATTGTAATTTTTGCCATAGTCCAAGCTCTCTTCTTGCTTCAGGGAAAATATCCCATTATAGTTAATTGGGGGAGGACTTAAGGGACCTTCAAACTGTGGGCTGGCGCACTCGGGGGACGTGCTCTCGTAGAAGGACTCGTAAGCGCTGCAGTAGTTGTAGGGCTTCATGGACTTGGCGTTGTCGAGAGTCCCGTGCCCCGGCGGCGTGCCGAGCTCGGGGCTGTGGTAGGGTGGGTAGAAGGTGGAGTAGGGCGACCTGGCGTGGTGGGCGCCGTCGCCGGCCTGGCCCATGAGGAAGCTGCGGGCGTTGAGCTGCAGGCATCCCGCCACCAAGTTTGTAGTCGGCTGCGACAGACCCTTGCACAAGTTTTGCACGAACGTGAGCAGGTCGGGTCTCTTGCCGATTCGCAGGATCTCGGAAAGAGCCCAAATGTAGTTTTTGGCCAGTCTTAAAGTTTCTATTTTGGACAGTTTTTGTGTTTTAGAGTAGCAAGGGACCACTTTCCTTAAATTGTCCAGCGCGTCGTTAAGGCCGTGCATCCGGTTCCTCTCCCTGGCATTGGCTTCTTGTCGCCTGAATTTGATCCTTTCCATTCTTATCTTGCTCGTCTTTTTTTTCCGAAGGCCCCTTCTCCTCGGCAAACCGTTCTCATCCTCCTCTTCCCTCTCTTCCTCTTCCTCCTCCTTCTCCGTGTCTTCTCCAGGAGACCTCTTAATATTCTTGCCCCGGAGCACGATCTGCTTTGAAAAGCTTTCTGGGTTCTTCATTTGCTTTTGGTCATCACTTTCTCTGGAAAACTTTCTGCACATCTGGGACTCTGGCATTACAACAGACTCATCAAAGGGTAGTGTTAACATGGTTCTACAATCTTAAGTTACCTGAAAGAATGCCAGCAGAATATTTAAATATTTTCATTTATAAAGTTTACACAGTCAACCACACCACATCACGCACCTTTCATTCATCTGTGTGCACGCTCTATACGTGGGTATAAAAACGCACAGTCTACATTTCTCTCCCCAAATTGTCAATCGCAATTGCCTTTTTACATGCTTGCTTATTAAAAAAAAAAAACAAAGCTGCTCAGAATTTTGAAATCACTTGAAAAAATCATAATTTTTTAACTAAAAAAAAGCCACATTTCTTACAGATAAGTAAATTAACGTTTAAAATATACAATTAACTTCTTGTCCATTTACAATAATTTAAACAAGACCTTCAAACCCTTAGCACCTGAGAATTCAGGAAATACAAAACATGATAAAGCAATACAGAAATTTCATTAATCCAAATTCCCCTGGGTGAAAAAATGAGAAGAGCAGGAGCAGTCCTCAAATTGAAAAGTGCCGTATCTCTATTCACTGATAATTTTAAAATCACTTTTTGACTTATATTTTGAAGTTTTTTCCCCTTCCCCATTTACCCTGTCATGAATCAAGATTTTAAACTCCAGTAAGTTAGTGGGCGAGAAAAAAAATTAATGACCCCCCCCCAAATACTTATTTAACAACATAATTAAAAATTCAGTAAGATTTTTTTTTACTAATAATTGGTGTGAAAATATATATCACATTTATCACATATTATAACAAAAAGCAGGGCTAGTCTAATCCTAAATATATTCTAATTAGAATTAGAAAATTAAATCTCTCCACCTCTTTTCTTTTTTCCCCCCACAGCAGAATTTCAAATCATATAATACATTTTCGTTAGAATTAACTTATTTTCTTTTACAACCCCCCTTTTTTTTTTCCTCTACCATTTTTTCTCCCCCGTGAATCTGGGGGGAAAATTCCCTGCACACTATAGCAGTGTTTATGTTCTGTAAGGTTCAGACGTCTCCCTCCAGCTAATATCTGACAGGAAGGGTCTGTCGATTCTGCTTGCAATAGTGCACGTGTGTTCCGAATCCAGAATGAAATGGGAAAATAATTTCCTTTCCAAATTATTTTGCTTTTGTTTTCGGTTTGGGAGCAGCAGATCCCTCGATCCACTGTCCTCAAAGAGACAAGCAAAAAACGAATGCAGGGACTTTTTAACAAAACAAAACTAAACAAAACCCCATAAAAGACTAACTCTCTCAGTATTGTCTACACACTTGCAATATTACATAATATCAATGAAAGTATGCAATTGCATCAGAAGAATAAAATGTTAGGAGGAGTTAGTAGACAGTAAATAGCATACATAAAATACAAGACAATGATACTGTATCTTTAAACACTTGCATGCACACCCAGCACCAACTGAAATATATCTTTATTTGTATTACCTTAGCTTTTTATTTCATTCAACAATCAGTTTTCATTTTTTGCCTTCCAAATCTTTTCAGTCTGAATGTCGCATCGTCTCCTGGAGCCTAGATCTGTGTGTATCTGCACTATCTCATTGATCTCTAAAAAGTGACATTGATGCCAACTGCCAGAGCTGGTACCCATGCCATCTGCTAGTGACGTCACGGGGCAGAGAAGACCACGTGAGCCTTTCTCCTGGGACCTTCATTCTGCACTGATCATCTGGCATCCCTCTAAGTGGGTACCAGCATTCATGTATCAACACAGAAGGTTAGACATGGAGAGGAAAAAAAAAAAAAAAAAAGAAAGAAAGAAAGAAGGGGGGGAAGGAAAAAAAGAAAGAAAGAAAGAAAAAATCTGCACCAGCATTTCACATACGGGAGGTGCATTTCTACTGGAGCTGCTGCTTTTTAGCAGCCCGGCTGCACGCACGGGCATGCCAGTGCCGGGTGCTCTCCCTGCCTACAGGTACGAGTGCCCTGGAGTTGGTGGTGTGGTTTGCTTTGTAGGGAAGGTGCTGCCTTGCTGCCATGCCTGGCTCGGGGTCCCTGCTGTGCACCTGGTGCCCAGGAAAAAAAAAAGAGAAAGAAAAATAAATTAAAAAAAAGCAAGGAAGGGAAAGCAGCAGTGGGGAAGTGAGGCTGGTACTGTTGGTGCTGTCACACGCAGCTCGGTCGCCAAAGTAGTTCTTGCTCCGTGCCTTTCGTGAGCGATTTTGGGGCATTTTATTTATTTATTTATTCTTTTAAGTGCAGTATGTTGCCCCAGTGCACACATTAACAGGAGCAAATTTCCCTTGGGCTCCAAGAAAGCCCTTTGGCTTTTTTTTTTTTTTTTTTTTTTTTTTTGACATTCTTCTCCCTAAAAAAGGAGTTTGAGGGAAACCTGCAAGTGCAGTGAAATGATTTTCCAGGCATTACCCTTCATGGGGAAGGAGAGGAGAGCTGCGCAGCCCCTGGTGAGCGCTCACACCTGCCTTTGCACAAATGCTTTTGCAGCCATAACTCAGGAGATTCAAAAAAAAAAACAAAATTTGAAAAAAAAACCCCACCCCCCCCAATCCTTAACCTTTTCTCTACATGCCTTTTTTTTTTTTTTTTTTTTTTTTTTGTGAACATTGCCCTTAAATCTCATCTGAACACTGGAGTCTTTGGGGATGCATCCTTCCTCCTGCAAAATCCCCCTTTGCCACTTGCCCCTTTTCCCATTCCCTTCTTGGTGCCCTTTGCAGCGCAGGCAGCCCTGCTTGCCTCAGCTGCCTCTGCGGGGCTCTCGCCTCTTTCTCCCTTAACCCTTTTGTTTCTCTCTCCCCCAAACAGGCAAGAAACTGTTAAATGGATCTGACAAAGCCTCTCGGCTAAGCCCTGCCATGGAGCTTATGGCAAACTCCACCTTGGGTTTTTAGGAGTGGTTGTGTCACGTCTAAGCACCAGCAAGAGAGGTGCGGGCAGAATGTGTCATTTTAGAAGCATTTCCCCCCACCCTTTAAAATTTTTTTTTTTTTTGTTAAAGTTTGCTTTTATTATTATCACATATCACTGCTTTTTAGGGGCTAAGTAATCTCTATTTTAAAAAGTGAGAGACTGAGTGCGCTCTTAGTATTAAAATAATCCCTGGCAGAGCTGCTGTTGTTACGGGTCTGTGTCAGCGTTTCCATTGTAAATCCTGTTTTTGAAGGGTTTATAACTCATCTGCTTTAATTCACATTGGGCCCAAGCTTGGCATTAATGTCCTCAGCCCCGATCCAATTATTTTGTTTTCACAAAGTTTCATTTAAATCTGTTTGGGCATTTCTTTTGATTACAAAAAGAGGCGGCAGTAAAACATGTGTGTGGAGGCTGCATTATGTATGTGTATGTGCTTAAGAATTTTAGGGGCCTTTGCAAGAAAAGAGGAAGAGAAAAAGGAAAGGAAAGGGGAAAGGAAAGGAAAGGGGAAAGAAAAGAAAAGAAAAGAAAGGAAAAGAAAGGAAAAGAAAGGAAAAGAAAGGAAAAGAAAGGAAAAGAAAGGAAAGGAAAGGAAAAGAAAAGAAAAGAAGAAGAAAAAAAGAAGAAAAGAAAAGAAGTCCTCTCCAAACTTTGCATTTTTTATGAAAGTGCCAGGTCATTCATTCCTTACAGAGCTCAGGCCTCGTTCTTTTTTAAAACAAATATATTTGAAGTGACAAAGATGTTAAAACTTAAGAAGCAACTGCTCAAGAGGAGCAAGCACTATACTATTCATAACATTCATTTCATTTTATTCCAAATATTACAATCGGTATAACAGAGGAGAGGGTAGAATCCCATTATTCTCAATAGGAATTTATGTATTAAGATTTATATTGTGAAAGGTCCTAAGGGTTGTCAACCTTTTCAAGGATTTTGCATATTCAGAGTATTATACAATGCACAATAATCTAAATATGCAAAGTCCTGGGGAACCAAACTCTGTGTCAATGCATACTAAAAATATTATAAGAAATTGAAGGAAATGTTGACATTATAGTTGCTCTGTGTAAAGGGAAGGACTGTAAAATTTCCAGCTACAGTTTCTCGACCCTCCAAAATACACTTTCATAAAAATATCCCCCCCTCAACCCTGGCTTTTTTTTTAATTGCTGGAGTATTTTTTTTAATTCCTCAAATATTATTGTAAAATGCATTTTTGGATGGCTCTTATACTGCCAGTAAAAATAAAATAAATGAATTATTTTGTGTTGAAGGACTCCCTCTGTAGTAGTAACATTACATTTTTGCAGATTCTTAATCCATCATTTGACCTTCTTAGTATTTTCAAATAAATAGTGGAGAAACAAAATAGCTGAGATATCAAGGTTTAAAAAGCCTCTACTGTGCATGCATAATAATTTTTCATAAGGATTTTTACTACGCATTTTGTATTATGGATCCATGATATGCAAATATGTACTGCTGTTAATATGCATTCACAGCATACCTCATAACTGCTGCTTTGCTGTCTACTGTGAATGCATGTTAAGAATAATACACAAAACACAGAATTAAATGCATTCTATAGAATGGCTCCATGCAACAAAAAGTACTACCAAATGCATCCTACATTCCCACGTCCAAATTGCGTAGTTTCAAATTACAGCAGTGCCTGTGTTTCAAGTGCAATATTATTATAGTACATTAAGCACAGCTAAGCATTAATAGATTCACTGAAATAATACGGAGCTCAAAGGACTGCTGAACATCCACAGGGCATCCAGGGGACCGACCCAAACCACACGGAAATCGGAAGGGAGTCCTTCCAACAACTTTAATACACTTTAATCAGATCTTCAGGGAAATCTTCTATTCCTTCTTTTTTATTTTTATTTTCTCTCTGCTGCATGGTGCTGTCCCACCTTCCCTGGTCCATAATTCCCAATCGCAGTGTAACAGGAGAATCACCTCAGTACTAGAGGGTGTCTCGGTGATGCTTGCCAGGACCAGTATCTGATACCAATACTCATGTGGTTTGTTGTGTTGTTGTCTGGGTCGTGTGTAGGTAGTAGCGAGATATTGTGCATGGCAAGACATGGTTCAGAAGTGCGGGGAGAGAACTCGGAGGGGATTTTTCTGCTTTGTTCTTGCAAAAATAAGGCAGCTTGAACCTGATCCATAGTATCTTGGGCTGGGAGACCACCGTCCGCAGTGAGATCCATTCTTTTGAGAACCAGGGCTACCTGTTCTCAGGACCTGATCCTGCAGGGGAGGATCAGGGGTGGCCAAGGAGACAGTGTGGGATTGCTGTGCTGTCCCACATGCCTTTCGTGCCTGGTAGGGCTGCAGGAAGGGCCATGAGCCCTTCCCCCTTCCAGGGAATCACCAGCCTTTCCTTCCTCTCCGTGTCCCCGGCATGCTGGCATAGTCTCTGGACCTCTTTCTGAGCTGCAGCAGCTCTTCCTGCAAAATGGACTTAGCCCTTCTCCCAACCCTGCTGTGGAGATGTTCAGGGATATGCATCCTTCTCCCAAGGGAGATTAAAGAAGATGCTAATAGGTATCCCTGGAATTGGAAAACTAACCTACATTAGTTCAAGAGGATTTGGTTCAGTCTGAAAATGTGATTTTAACCCAGCTGCTAATGCTAGGAGATATTATAAATGTGCTTTACACTCTCTAAGCCCCCTGTAATGAGGACGTACTTTTTGCTCTAATCAGACATCCTTAGTTTTATGTTTTGAATAGGCTGTTAGGGACAAATATGAAAGAGCTGCAGAGGGGTTAGTTACTCCATTTTAATGGGAGTCACTTGAGTAAAACATGAATTTAGAATCTGAAAATGGACTCTAAGACTAATTGAATATTGCTAACCAAAAATGTGTTTGTGACCAGAAATTGCTCTAAGATTACTGAAGCACACGAATAAAATGGCTTTGATTTAGATATGACATACATTTGGCATAATCCTCTTAATTTTGAGCGACTCCTGCTTACGCTAATATGAACGGAGAGTAGGACCAAATAATTTAAAGAAAGATGCACTTTAAAAAGTATTGAGCCAAACTTGCATCAATCTGATTGCAATAAACCTAGAGAAGTGATGGAGAGCACAGACTGGAAGTTTTGATGTCAGATTAGTAGGTATTACATACCTTGCAACAACATGAGATTTAAGGTACCTGTTTTCCCTTGGGAAAACGGTTCCAGTCAGAGCAGTTGTGTTAATTCTTGCAACTGCAGGAGGTTAAGAGCATTCCTGTCGCTTTGGGATGTAAAGCAACCCTATGGTGTATCTGAGAAATGTGGGGTTTTTTTTTTTTCATTCACACTCAGTGCCTGGGATTGTCTCACTGTCTGTTACTGCACCTTGACGATTCTCTGAAACCAGTTAGTCCTGCAGCCTGGTGAGGAGACCAGCATGGACACATGGCTGTGGGACATATCCGGATGGTGCTGAGCACGGCCTGCTCTTCAGCAGCCATCCCTGTCAAACAGCTAGTTAGCTCTGCTGCTTTTTGTCTCTTTTTGCTCACCCAGTGCCCATGGGGATTCCCAGTCATGTTTCTTCTATGTTTCCATTTTGAAATGGTTTCCTTCAGAAACCTTGCAAAACAGGCTGTTTTCTTCTTCTCCCTTACACAATTCTCTCCTTCCAAGTGGCATCTAATGGGAAATTCTTCCCAGACCCTCAGTGGGGAGTTTCCCTATGCTTTTTCTCCTTTCCTGGATCCCATTCCCTGCTCCCTGGAGTTTAGATTACCCTCTAAACTCTAAATCCCGAGCTGTGCCGGGGCTGGAGCCCCTCTTGGAAGCCGTGGGAGTTGTGCGCGGGGAGCGAGGCGGCTTCACGGAAAGCCCATGCTGAGACGAGCAGTTTGTCTAGGACTGCGCAGCAGGCTCCAAATTAAATGCAAGACACGAGGGGAGAGAGAAGTTAAATTAACACTTGCTTGACAGGAGCGCAACGCAACATCTAAAAATAATAAAAGCTTCTGGTGGACACTTTCCTCCTAGGAAATTACAGGAGGTTTTGTAAGAGAACTTCGTAAAAGATCCTTGCAAAGTTTTTGGAGAAACTCTGACATTTCCATAATTTGCAGCAGACTTTTGAAACTCAGCAGGGAGAAAGCCCTCAGGCTAGAGCAATGACTTTCCTTTACCCCCATGAAATTTTACCCAGGTTCAGGCGAGCTGTAAGCTCTTAAGGATCATCATTTCCTCTCTCTTTCATGCACTCTTCAGGCAAATTTTAGCAGCATGCTGAAATGATACCTGAACACCTTAGAGAAAAAAAGACCTCACAAATAACCATTACTTTAAACCAATTTTAAAAGCACATTATTAAAGTTGAGAAGTTGAGTGTCTGTGAGTAGGAAAAGCCAGATCTACTATTCCCTATGAAACCTCAATTTTTTCTCTTATGTGTATATATATTCTCTTATGTGTATATATATTTATATATATATGTGTGTGTGTGTGTGTATTCATATATGTGTATATATATATATATACACACATACACACACAGGTCATTTTTTAACTGTAGAGGTTAGATTGAGGGGCTTGTTTTTACAAAATAATTTTAACTAGGGTTTCAAAGGCTCAGGTTTACTTACTATAAAAGAATCTGTGCTACTTTTGGTTTGCCTTTCATTACCTGAATTAGTGGCCTCCTTGTCCAAGGCTCTTCCTGAGATATTCTTCAGATGGAGGTAAGTAAAGTTTTCATTGAAAAGGCAAAAAAGCCTGTTGGATATGGTACCCAAACCTGCTTATGAACTATAGCCTCTCTCATGTTTCCCAAATCTGCAGGATGCTTTTGACTGCTTCTAGCATTTGCCAGACAACAAATAAAGCATACAATATGACATGTATTTAAAGATCTCTTTACTAGAGAGATTTCCTTACCAGAAAGAAAGATAACTCTCACTTAAAAAAAAAAAAATCCTTCCCACCAACCATCCCTCTACAAGCCAGTGTCA